GGGACCCTCGGGACTGTTGGGGAGCTGAGTGAATCAGCCGTGCTGCTCTGCTCCATGCTGCCGTGGCAAAACTGACTTTGCATCTAAATTAGCTAATTTAAAAGTGTCCTGGGCACCTCTGCACCATCCTTTCCTCTCTTATGTGACTGCATAAGAAAATTTAAAGGAAAAGGCAAAATACAGTCTTTCTGCAGCCTAGTTTATCATCCATAAATACGGCTCTTCTCCAGGCATTTCCTGGCTGATGCTGTTCCCCAGCAAATCCTAGAAGTGCTGTATACTAGAGGTTATTAATACAAAAATAATTGCACAGAACAGAGCAAAGAGAAAAACAGCAGGGTTATTCCAGAAGCCTTTAATTTTTTATTTATTTATTTTTTAATTTTTTGTTATAATTTTGGTACTATAAATCAGTATTTCCTAAAGAGCCGAGCACACTGCGATGGTGAGCTGTACACATCTCAAGAATGAGGCACAGCATCTCGGGCCTTCTAATTAGCTCTGCTGGCATAATTGACTCTGGCTGGGCACCAGAGTTGGTACAGCTGTGAGCTGACAAGGCTGTGAGGAGGCAGGAGGAGACAAAAGAAGATGAGCAATAGTAGCACCACACACCTGTGAGAGGGAGGCAAGGAAGGAAAGACCCTAGGACTGAGGGGAGAATACACAGAAGAGATCAGAAGAAATAGAGAAGGACTGACAGGCAAAAACAAATGAGAAAGAAGGAGGTAGTAGTTCTGTTTTCTGCTTAAAAGAGCAAAGAACCTTTGGTTGAAGCTGATGAAAACTGTACATTTGTATTAACAAAGATTCTGAACATGAAATACTTGTTAAAGATTTGGTGGTTGGTTAAAACCTTAAAAATAGGTTTTTTTAAGCTATTGCACAAAATCCTACTGATTTTTTTTTTTTTTTCCTGGTGACATGGTCAGTTTGTCAACCTTCACTGACAGCATAGAAGCAGGGAAATACCTTTGAAGCAGGATATGAGAACAAAGAACACAATAAGCAGTCCATAAATGGTCCCAATTTGTATTAAATTAAGATAGGAAAAAAACTACATACATCCAAGGCATGGATTATTATGGATTCTCTTGAAGGGAAAAGGTATGCATTTTCCTCTTAGTGCAAAATATTCACTATAAATGTACAGGGATATTGTCAATGTTGACACTGATGTTGTATCTAATTAATTCATGCACAGCATTGGGAGGGAAAATTAATACATTCCCTCTTATTTCTTCTTCTGAAATTAGACGTTTTGTCATATTCATTTGCTATTTTGCTATAACCAAATTCCTTCTTCAATTTCTTTTTTTTTTAATAGTACTAGACCTGCTTCTAGTGAGTGACAGTAGTAAAAAGCATTCTGCCAGCCAGCCCCTGCCTTTATCTAACAATCTGGGGGGAGGGTGGGAGAGGGTGTCTTAAATTTTTTGTTCATATTTTTCTTCCCCCATGAATGCCTTCACCACCAGATGCTGCTCACAGGAAGAACTTCCCACCACAGCTGCCACTGATGCTCCCAGTTTCTGGCCTCCTGCAGTTCCCCACAGCAACCTCTTCATCCTCTGTAGGACTTAAAATTTAATAGCAGTGTGTAAGCTTTCTCAACAATGCTCGCCTTTTCAGACTCACGAGCCTGACAGACACACAGAAACAACTTCTGCTCAGCTTTCTCAGAGGCTGGAAATGGGTCACTCATCCCCTCATTGGTTCCTCACCTCCCAGGACAGCTGAAAGCAGGGCTTGGCAGCCCATGGGTGGGATAACACCACTACAGAGCAGGAACAAGTCAGAGTTCTGATGTGCTGGGGACTCCTTTGGACATGCAGCCCGGCACAGACTCATCAGACAAGAGATATGCAGCAAGCTCCCTTCTCTTTGTTTCACAATATCCTGCCGAGGCCAAAGGTCCTTTGAGGTTTATATAAATTACAGTGGTTCCCTCTTATTTGCCCATTATGAGCGTGTCCCAGTTGGAATTCAAACAGATTAGTGATGAGGCATGAGTTTCCTGCAGAAACTTTGCTCTTTAGATACCATCATCTTTCTTTTTCTTTTTTTCCTACTTGATATTCTGTCTTCAACCAGCTTATAAAACAGAAGTGTGTATCTGGGAGAGTATGTGCTTCCTCAAATTATCTCAATCCTGTTTTCAACTCTGGGTACAACTGTTACCTTCCACTTCTTCAGCAAAATAGCTGTTTTTAATTAAGAAAGGCATATTTTTGTTGCAGATCAGCTATTTCATACTAAGCTCCTTCTAAACTTTTCAATGTACCATCTGGAGCTGATGATTTGCTGCTTTTTAAATTATCGATTTGTTCCAGCTCTTCCTTCTGACACATCTTGATTACCAGAAAGGAGAAAGTCCCAGTAGGTACCACTCTGATATTCTCTGTGCTGAAGAGTGCTGCAAACAAATCATTTAGATTCTCAGCAATGTCTTTATCTTCTTTAATTTCTGCCTTTGATCTTTGGTGATCCAGTTCCTGAACTACCAGTTAATTATTCCAACTCTTCTGACTGACAAACCTGAAGCATTCTTATTTTATAACTTCAGTATTTTGCAGTCTACCATACTTCCTTTTTATTTCCCTTTCATCTAGTCTTTACACTAATTAATAAACCAATGTATTGGTAAAATAAGGTTAGATTTTCAGATTTGGAAGGGTTCCCTGACACTCAGCTGTACTGATTTCCTCTTTGTTTGCCCAGTGTTACTGTTGTTGGCAACATACATGCCCTCCAGACTCTATTATTGTTCTTAAGTGGAATTCATGGCATCTTCCTCTTCTCTTCCCTCAGGAGCTTTTGTGACAAATCCTCTCAACACAACCAAAGCCCAGATGCTCTGAAATTTCAGTCACTTTTTGTACTTTATTTCCCACTAAGTTACAGGACTGTATTACATTAATATGTCTGCTAGCAGCTACAGATGCAATCTCGTCTTGAATTCCTTCCTGCATATTGATTAAGAACCAAAAAAACAGGATATCAAGACACAGGCACCTAAAAATGGTGGCATTTTGATCTGAAATTTCATACTGACCTATGGCTCTGGCCCAAGCTTGGAAAAAAGGCACCTAGCCCTTTTTTAATACTTTCCAAAGGCAGTAATTGGACAGTATCTGGCAAACCTGGGGTGAGTGAGTAATCCATACCAGTAGCAACGAGGCATTGGAAACTGCATGTCTGGGGTAGTGCAGTGATTAGAGTTCTTTCTTCCTGACATGGAAGGGCTGAGTGGGAGCGAGGCCAAGCCTCGGGAACCAGGTTGGAAGAGGGCACACCCTTCCACTCGTTGGGAGCCAGAGTTCCTGGCTCAGAAAGAACTGCAAAGCTTCTGGGGGGAAGGAGGCCTGACACTATAGCTTGGTGGCTTGGGGTCTCAGAGCAGACAGGTCTGCTAGGTTTGAGTCAGTGTGCTGATCCTAAGCACTTTATTTTATCCATGAGCTCAGTGCAAAATGGTCCCTAAAGCAAAGTGTGTAACTTACTGTCTGGTGCCTGCTGAGACTCCTCTTCAATATGTAGGAAGAGCTTATCTTTCTGAGACAGATGTGTGGGATGATGCTAAAGCTGTGGCCTGAGCCCTGAGCCATCTCCTGCTCAGAGCACTCTCCCACTCCTCAGGCACAAGAGACGTTCAGTTCCTGCCTGAAAACTTGACAGTTGTTTGACAGAGTGAGCTGAACTGTACCTCAAGTTCACACAAAAAGCAAAGGAATTTGAATAGGCTTGCTTTGGGCTTGTTATACTCCTTCCTGAATTACTGTTCTTTAGTATTTTCTTCTGCTTTCCTTCTGCTGACACACCTAAACATGGCTGGACAGCAGAGTTTCACAATTGCTTCCCTAACCCAGCTCATGCCAAATCATTACTCGTGTTGCAAAAGCCCCCACAAAATGTCAGCTGAGCTTTAAATCATTTCTTGTTAAGAAAAAAATAATAATTAAAAAAAATTAGAATCCAACCACTGGCCATTGAATTGATGTTAATGATTTAATAAGAGAGGACTACAAATGCAGAACAACAGACACAATCCTCAAATCCTTACACCACTGGCGTCCACAGTGGCTCTACTCCAGAAGAGGTTAGGCCATCCTCTGTCTGATGGCTCTTCCCCCACCAGCCACTTCACCTCCACCACTGGCCAGGCTCACTTCAGCCAGAGAGAAATGGGTGCAACAAACTCAAAATGGCTCACTCATAGCACAGCGCTGGCTGCAACGAGGGAGGCCTTGCAACCCACCCGGATACCTGCAGCAGGTTGGTTTTTGGCATCTCAGCCTGAATGCAGAAAGATCTTTTGGTTATACCCATGCAGATAGAGAAGACCTCAGGCTGAAGAATTGGGGAAATAGATTTATGTCACATATAAAACCCTGGTCACTGCACACATACTCGGAGACAGAAGCCCTCCTGCAACTGGGGAAAGGCCTTTGATATTCCCTTCCATTAAATATTCTTCAGGTACCCGGTCTGGTGACTTCACGTTGCTACAGTCACTCCCAGGGCATCCACCAACCTGTTCCAGTTCCTGCTGCTCTTTTCTGGCCAGATTTGAAGCCTCTGAACCAAATGAGATGCGAGGATGCTAATAAAACAGCAAATCGACCGAAAACGTCACCACAACCCTCTGACCTCTCGCTCTGCTGAGACACTCTGGACCGAAAGAACCCCCAATTCCCCTTTGCCAGCTCAAAGCTTTCCCCCCTGCAGCGCCCGCAGACCTTGGCACCCGCGGGTGCCGGGGGTGCCTCGTGTGCCGAGCGGCGGGGAGGCAGCCCCGGCGCTTACCTTGGCCGGGCACGTGTGTGCGGGACGGGCCC